GGGGGCCCCCAGGGGGCCCCCCCCGGCGTTGTCGAAGAGGGACTTGGCAGCCCCGGGGTACGGCGGGCTCGGGGCTGCTGCTGTCGCTGCTGCTGCAGCTGCTGCTGCTGCAGGGGCCGCAGGGGCCTCCCCAGGGGGCCCCTGGCGGCCCTCTCGGGGCCCCTCTTGCTGCTGAGGATAGTTCGAGAGAAAAGGGTCATGGAAAACAGCAAAGAGACGGCGCGGAAGGCTGCTGGGGGGCCCCCCTGGCTGGGGGGCCCTCAGCAGCAGCTGCCCGGCGCGGGCGGGTATCATGGGGGCAAAAAGAGGACTTTTGGAAGATTTAGAGAAATAAAAAGGACAAAAATGAATTTGGTTTATATTTTAAATTCAATTTCGCGGAAAAATCCCGCAAAAACAGCCCAATCCAGCAGCAACCCCACACTCCTGCTGCAGCAGCAGCTCCTGTCTTAGCCGCGCTGCAGCTGCCTGCCTCAGCCCTGGGGCCCTCATACATTCCCGCTGCTGCTGCTGCTGCTGCTGCTGCTGGGAAGCAGCAAAAGGTGCATGCAAGGCGATTAAAATGAGCAGCTCGGCCTTCCCAGAAGCTGCGGGGTTTTGGCTTCACGGCTGCCAGGTGTATGTACACCGCAGCGATGCGCGAGCGCTTCCCGGACAAGGGTTTTGAAGAGAAGATCTTTTGAATTAAATTAATTATTTCATTTATTTTATTTAAATAGTTTCATTGAAGAGAATAGATCTCTCTTAATTGGACGAAAAAGCCCAATTCGCAAAGCCGCGCTAGTCCCATAGCGGAAGCTGCAGCAAGCAGCAGCAGCAGCAGCTCTGCGGCTTCTTAATAGACTCAAAAGCTCAAATAAAACAGCAGCAGCTGCTGCAGCAGCAGCTGCTGCAGCAGCCGCTGCTGTTGCTGCAGAGAGGCCTGCAGGGCTCTCCAGGTATTATCGAGTAGATAAATAACTTGGGAACTACTCATTTAACAATTACTAGCAACTGTACTAGTGAGTTTAAAAATATCGAGCAGCAGCACGATATTGGCAGCAGCGCCACACTAGCAGCAGCAGCAGCAGCGGCAGCAGCACAATAACAGCAGCACAATAACAGCAGTAGCAACAGCAGCAGCATGCAGCACTTCCGCTGCAGCCGCTGCAGCTTTGTCTTATATATTTCAAATGAACAATCTGAGTTTTGCTTTTTCCCCACTGCGCTTCCAGTTCTCCTTTACAGCAGCAGCAGCAGCAAGTGCAGCAGCAGCAGCAGCAGCACTACATCCAAATAAAACACTTTAAAGTCGAAAGGCAAAGGCCCCGTTCATCACCAAACTCACGGCTGCATGCATGCACCGCATGCACAGGTGCATGCAAGTCGGCGCGACGTGCATGCAGCCCCACAACGCATGCATGCATGCACTGCATGAATGCATGCATGCATGCATGCACTGCATGCATGCACTTGTGTTCCGGTCTACCCCGCGGCCGTTGCTCTGGGTCATTGCATCCTAGCCGCTGCTTCCGCTGCTGCAGCAGCAGCAGCAGCAGCTGCTGCTGCTGCTGCTGCTGAAGTCAGTAGCCCCTGCTGCAGTCCACTGGAGTGCTCATGTCTTGGGGCCCCCGGGGGCCCCTCAAGAAGCACTTGAGGTTTTCTAAGAAGACACGCGTGCTGCTGCTGCTGCTGTAGTTTTCGAGCCAGTCTGCGTTGTGGGGTGACAGCAGCAAATTAGGACAAGACCAAACAGCAGCAGCAGCAGCAAGAGGCTCTTGCTGAAACACATCCAGTGCTGCGCCCCCAATTGACCCGCTCCGCAGCGCCTGAGACACACACGCATGCTGCTGCTGCTGCTGCTGCTGCTGCTGCCGCTGCTGCTGTGGAAGCTGCTGCTCGCGGTTCTCCTGCTGCTGCTGCTGGTCAACTGCTGCTGCTGCTAGTGCACTGCTGCACTGCTCTGCTGCTAGTCAACTGCTGCTGCTCTCCTGCTAGTGAACTCGTGCTGCTACCACAGCTGCTGCTGCTGCTGCTGCAGCTCTGCTGCTGCTGCTGCTGCCGCAGCTCTGCCACTACCACTGCTGCTGCTGCTGCTGCTGCTGCTCTCACCTGCAGCAAAGCTTCCTCGTCGAGGACTTGTCCCCTGCCGAGGGAAATGAAAACAGCAGTTTTCTTCATAGCAGCAAAATGTGCTTTTGTGATGCAGCAGCAAGTTGCTGCGGTGGCGGGCAGCGTGCACACCACGAAGTCCGACTGTCTGTACACCTGAGTGCGCAGCAGCACCTTCAAGCAGCAACTCTTTCATTTTCAATTTCCACTTAATTCAAACAAGTGTTTCTTTTTCACTTTTAATTTAATTCAAACAAAGTTCACTTTTAATTAATTAAATTCCAGTTCCATTCAATTCTCCAGCCTCTCTGCTGCTCTTGCTGCTGCAGCAGCAGCAGCAAAACCAACAGAAGCCAAACCGCCACAGAGTGGCCCAGCTGCTTCCTGCTGCTGCTGCCGCTGCTGTTGCTGCTAGTACTAGTGGAGCGTTTGCTGCTGCTGCGGCTGCTGCTGCTGAAGCTGTGTGGTGATCCTGATTCTGTTGCTGCTGCTGAGGCATTTTCTACTGCGAGTGCTGCTGCTGCTAATGGAAAACCTGCTGCTGCTGCTGCTGCTAGCAGTTTAACTTCCGCTGCTGCTGCTGCTAAAAGTTCTCTTGCACTGCTGCTGCTGCTGCTGATGCAACTGGACTTCCTTTCGCCGCCGCCGCTGCTGTCGCTGCTGCTGCAAACGCACTCCTGCCGCTGCCGCTGCTGCTGCTGCTGCTGCTGCTGCTGCACGCACCTCTAGCTCGTCCTTGCTGCCAGCTTCATAAACAGCTTCCAGCAGTTCGCATTTCTTTGTTGCATCTCTTCTCAAGGCGATGCAGCGCATGCCCAGAAACTGAAAATGAAAAAGAATTTAAATCATTTAAATCCTCACTAATCCCGAAAAAAGGAGCAGCAGCAAACAAAACCCAGCAGCAGCAGCAGCAGCAGCGGCAGCAGCAGCACAGGCAGCTGCTGCTCCCCAACTGGGTGCAATCCTCAAGCAGGTGAACTGCAGCAAACAGTTGCTGGTGGGGGCCTTGCGGCCCTCTGGACCACCCCAAACCCTAAACCCCAAACCCTAAACCCTAAACCCTAAACCCTGACTTTGCATGCGCCGGCGATTTGTTTGGCAATGTCCCCGTAGCCGACGAAGCCCACAGTGCTGCCCCTGAGCTCGGCCATTACGAAGGGGGCCCAGCAGCAAGTTTGCTGCTGCTGCTGCAGCCGGGGGATTTGCTTCGCGAAGTGCAGCATGGCTGCGAGGGCGTACTCCTTGAGGGCTGAGGAGAAGACCCCGCGGGCGTTGGTGACCAGCAGCTGCTGCTGCATGCGCGGGGGACCAGTGGTCTGACCAGTGGTCACCTGCGCATGCAGCCGCTGCAAAGCCCCACACAAACCCTCAACTCCAGCCAAACAGCTGTGCACCCACTGCAGCCGCGGGCACAGCGGGACCACGGCCTCCAGCAGCGCGGGGGGGGCGTCGAGCAGCACCAGGACCTCGGCCTGCTGCCCAGCGCATGCCCGCAAACCCTAAACCCTAAACCCTAAACCCTCGCCTGGCGGACCAGCGTCCTTTTCACGCGCAGGCCGCGCAAAATGAACAACCATCCCACTACAAATGAACTACTCTGCAAAAGAAGTGGCCTGAGCCTTTGAAGGAGACGCGGCGGCCGGAAACCGCAGCGCGAATCTTGGGTGTACAGACACCGCAGACACTCTGCACACCGAAGCAGCGGCGCAGCGGGAAAGCTGCAGCGAAAGAGGCTCTAACGCGCACCTTTTGCGTCATTTCTATTTTGCTTTCGAAGTCTTCTTTGTTGCAGCCCGGAAGAACTTCAAATTCCGGAAACTCCTCGCACAGACGCCGCGCCAGACGCGGCAGTACAACTTGACCAATGGACGGCGGCGGCGGCGAACCAGGAGGACCCACGCGGGCCTCTGGAAAGGCCGAAAGGTCCACTGGTTCTTTTGTCAACGCCAAAATATATTTCTTTTCCATTTTGCTGCAGCAGTCTGCAGTTTGCTGCTGCTCCCGTGCGGCTCTTCGCCCGCGGAACCCGGCGCGCGCCGGGAGTTCAACACTGCGGAAAGCAACGGAAAGCTGCGGTAACCTCCGACACAACTCACAAATTTTATTCTTTTTCACCAATAAAAGCGCAAATAAAGGTTTTTAAAGCCTTTTTAGCTCCTCAAAAAGCCGCCAGCTTCCGCTTCCACCCCCCAGCGCCGCCGCCGCGGACTGCAGCCGCTCAGCGGCGGGAGGCGCGGCGCGCGCAGTGGGCCCCCCTTCGCGCGTTTTGAATAAACGATTTGAATATTTAGATTTAATTTATTATTTAGTTTATTATTTAATACATTTTTGCAGACTAGGGGCGTTTTTTCGCCGCGAGCTGGCGCCTCGCGGCTGCTGCAGGCTCGCATGCAGCCGCAGCGCCCGCAGCCTCCTCCCCTTGAACTTCTTTTTCTTTCTCTTTTTTAAATTATTTTATCCCAGAGTTGGGGTGTATGTACAGACAGCTGGGAGCGGCAGGCAGAGCTGCAGCCTCCCTGCCATGGGCCGCCGAGTCATTTCTTTTCTTCCTTCTTCGCTGCTGCTGCCCCGCCCGCTGCGGCTCTCCGCAGCAGCAGCAGCGCAGCGCAGGGCCCTGAGCACAGCGGGGGCCCCCTCGCCTCCTCCCCCGCCCGCACCAGCAGCAGCAGCAGCTGCTGCTGCTGCTGCTGCTGGTGCAGCGCAGGGCCCCCAGGAGCCCCCCGGGGGCCCCCTGCGGGTAGGCGTGCTGATAGTGGGGGGGGGCCTCACGGGGCTTACAGCTGCGCACGAGCTGCTGCTGCTGCAGCAGCAGGGGGCCCCCCTGCCGGGGCCCCCAGCAGTTTCTAGCAGCCTTTTGTGGCGGCTGAGGGCCCCCGAGGGCTCCCCGGGGGGCCCCCAAGGGGGCCCCCCGGGGGGCCCCTTGTCTGCGTGTCAGTGGGTGGGGTTGTTGTTATTTGGCTACGACTAAAATGTTAAATGGCCGCGGCCTAAGGTTTGACTTTCGCGCTGCTGCTGCTGCTGGCGCTGCTGCTGCTGCTGCTGCTGGCGCTGCTGCTGCTGCTGCGGCGGCGGCGGCTGCAGCAGAGGAGCTTGAGCAGCCAGAGGACCTGGAGGGCCCCGAAGAGCAGCATGGAGGCGCGGTAGAGGGCCCTGCGGGGGGCCCCCAGGGGCCCCTCGAGGGGGCCCCCGTCGAGGGCCCCCCAGAGCTCGGGAAAGAGGCAGCAGCAGCCGTAGGCCAGGCGGGCCCCACAGAAGCTTAGCACGAAAAGCCCGTGCATGCAGCGGCCTGGGGGCCCCGGGGCCCCCCCCCCCTTGAAAATGAAGTACCTTAGGGTCCAAAAAGGGGTACTAAGTTCGAACAGAAGTAAGCAGCAAGTGTAGAAGCTCAGGGGGGCCCCCGAGGGGTACACGTAGGGTGTACATACACTCGAAAAGGACAACAGTGCATGCAGCAGCCACTGGGGCCCCTCGGGGCCCCACTGCTGCAGCACTACGAACAAGTCCCACAGGAAGTACCCTCCCGCTGTCAGTCCTGAATTAAACAACAAATCAATTCAATTAATTTAATTAATTTAATTAATTTAATTTGATTCAAATTGGATTTATATTTATTTCTGTTTCCGGAGTTAAAGGGCTTCAGCGGAACTGCGAATGAAGCCCTTTGCTTCGCTGCAAGAAAAGTTAAATGCAAAATAAATTAAGTAATTAAATTTATTTTAATTCAAAAATTAGGTCAACAATTACAATACTGGTGAGACGAACAAACGGCATGCAAGCAGCAGCAGCAGCAGCAGCAGCAGCAACAGCAGCCCAGCAAGGGCGCCCCAGGGGGCCCCTCCAAGGGCTCCGGGGGGCCCCCTAAGAGCTCCCCGAGGCTCCTCGGGGTCCCCCCAGGCCCCTGGGGGCCCCCCGAGGCCCCTGGGGGCCCCCCGAGGCCCTTGGGGGCCCCCCGAGGCCCTTGGGGGCCCCCCGAGGCCCCTGGGGGCCCCCTGGGGGCCCCTGGGGGCCCCTGGGGGCCCCCTGGGTCGTTTGGACTAACCTATGGTGGTGGAGAGGAGGGAAGTTCCTTGGATTTTATTTGAATAAACTTTTTTGTCGAAGAAAATGCAAAAAAGAGACAAGAGAGAAACGAGGAGAGAATGGTAAAAGCCAACGCATCTGTTGCGGGAAGCTGAGAGAGTTCGCGCAGCAGACTTCAAAACCGGACACTCTGCTGCTGCTGCTGCTGCTGCTGCTGCTGCTGGTTTTCGCGTTGAGGCGGTGGCTCGGGACGACGGCGCTGCTGGTTCTGCTGCTGTTGCTGCTGCTGCTGCTGCTGCTTTGATTGCTGCGCTGCAGACAGGGCAGTTGACCTCCAGGCGTTCCTCCTCCGCAATGGTTGCTGCTGCTGCTGCAACATCTTCTGCTGCTGCTGCTGCTGCTGCTGCTGGTTTGTGCGCTGCGACGAGGGCCCTGCAGCCCCTGAGCTGGCTGCGAACTGCTGCTGCTTGCTGCTGCGGAATCAGCAGCAAAATGGGCTTTTCTAACTCCTTTAAAGCAGCAAAAAGGTACCAAAGAAAAGCAGAAAGAGAAAGAAACAAAATGGAAAAACAATAAGGGTAATAGCCGTCGCCGGCGCCCCAAGCAGCAGGAGGCGCTATGCAGCAGCTCCAGAACTGCTGCAGCAGCAAATAAAAGCTGCTGCTTTCTTTACTTTCCATTTTTAATTCAAAATATACGTTTTATTTAATCATTCATCTTCAACTGCCGCTGCTCTCCTCGCGCGCCGCTGCGCGCTTCGCCACAGGCTCGAGTGTACGTACACCTCAAAAATTCGCAGCCCGACTTCGCACGCGAAGTTCATTAAAAACCTAAATTAATTCAAATAACCAAACTAATTAAAAACTGCAATAAATAAGTCCAAAAAAGCCCGCAGAGGCGCCGGATGGCCGCTGGCTCTACGCCGGAGCTCAGGTGTACGTACACCCGGGCTTCCAAGAGCTCCGAGGAAAACGGAAATGAATTTTAATTGCACTCATTAATTATTTATTTGCATTTCAGAGGAAGTAGGGAGAGAAACTTCGCCAGCTGCAGCCGTGAGCGCATGCTTTATTGCAGCAGGAGCAGCAACAGCAGCTGCAGCAGCGGCTGCTGCTGCTGCTGCTGCTGCTGCTGGGCTGCGCCTGACTGGGCTGTTGCCTTTTGCTGCTGATGCCTTGTCTAAGATCTTGTCTTTTGCGGGTTTTTGCGCATTCCGTCAGTTGTTGCAGCAGCAGCAGCAGCAGAAGCAGCAGCTGCTGCCGTTCTCCCTCGTGCTGCTCTTGCCGCCTGTCAACGCAGCGCGACTCGTTCGAAGCCTCAGCTGCAGCAGCAGCAGCAGCAGCAGCCTGTGCAGCCGCAGCAGCTGCTGCTCCTCGAATTAGCCTTTCTTTGGCTTTTGTCTTTTCCGGAGGCCCCCCTCTTAGCCAATGTCGGGGCCCCCTTCTGTACCCTACGGCCCGGGGCCCTCGGGGCAGCGTCCGGGGGCCCCTGGCTGGCGGCCTCCATCGCAGCAAGATGGGGGTGGGTCCATGATGGGGGCCCCCCCCGGGGGCCCCCCCGGGGGCCCCCCAGGTGGCCCCCCCGGGGGCCCCCCCGGGGGCCCCCCCGGGGGCCCTCCCGGGGGCCCTCCCGGGGGCCCCCCCGGGGGCCCTCCCGGGGGCCCCCCGTCGCGGGGCCCCCCGGGGGCCCCCATGGGCGGGGTACCCTTTGGGGGCCGCATGCCCGGGGGCCCCTCGCCCGGGCTGGGGATGGGGGCCCCGGGGTACGGGGCCCCCGGGGCGATGGGTTCGTTCCCGGCTGCGCTGGGGGGTCCAGCGCTGGGGGCGGCGCCTGCGATGGGGGGCGCCCCGGGGGCCCCCCTGGGGGCCCCCCTGGGGGCCCCCCTGGGGGGCCCCCTGGGGGCCCCCCTGGGGGCCCCCCTGGGGGCCCCCCTGGGGGGCCCCCTGGGGGCCCCCCTGGGGGCCCCCCTGGGGGCCCCCCTGGGGGGCCCCGGGGCTGCGTGGGGCCCCGTGGCCCCGGAAATGGCCGCCGTGGGAATGACTGCGGTGAACCTGAAGCGCCTCAAGTACCTGCAGCCCAAAGCCGTCGATGGTTCGATTCCCCCCAACTGCACTATTTACGTTTCCAACATTAACGACCGCGTCAAACTGCGCGGTGAGTCCACACGCCCCAGGGGGCCCCGGGGGGCCCCAGGGGGGCCCCGGGGGGCTCAGGGGGGCCCCCAAGGGGGGCACCCTCAAGGGCCCTTCGGGGGCCCTGAAGGGGCCCCGTCGGGGTGTCTGTGGGTGGCTTTTGAGCGGGTCTTTATAAGGGTACTTTTGGGGTACTTTGGAGACTCTATAAGGTGCTTTTTGGGGGCCCCCAGGGGCCCCTAGGGGCCTCTTAGGGCTCCTTAGTGGGCCCCCTAGGGGCCCCCTAGGGGCCCCTAGGACCCTCAGGAGGCCCTCAGGGGGCCCCTACGGGGGCCCCCAGGGGCCCCAGGGGATCCCCAGGGGCCTCCTGGAGGCCCAAAAGGGAGAGCCTAGGGGACCCATTGGGGGCCCCCTGGGGGGCCCCCCAGAGGCCCCTAGGCGTGGAAGGGGGCCCGAGAAAGGGTTGTTGAGGGTATCTGTGGGTTCATTTGTTTTTGGGTATTTTGATTTAAAATGATATTTGTTTTATTTATGTTTATCTATTTATTTATATTTATTTCTTTATGTTTATTTGTTTTTATTTATTTACAGAGTTGAAGGAAAACTTGAAGTCCATGTTTAGACAGTTCGGAGAAATTCGGCAAATTGTGGCCATGGGCTCTTTCTGGAGAAGGTGCGAAATAAAAGTAAACAAATTAAATAAATAAATAAAATTAATAAATTAATAAAATTAATAAAGTAAATGATTAACAATAAATATTAATTGATTGTTCGCTGCGAGTTGTTACTTGTTTATTGAGCACAGCTGCAGCAAAAGCGCAGCTGCAGCAGCACAGCAGCAGCAGCAGCAGCAGCTTCTGAGTTGTTTGCGTATCCCGTTGAATCTTCGACTTGCGGACTTGCACTAAAAAGAACAACAACTAAAATACAATTGTTTGTTTATTTATTTATTTATTTATTTTATTTATTTATTTATTTATTTATTTATTTATTTGCTGCAGAGGCCAGGCCTGGATTGTCTTCAAAGACGAAACTGCAGCAACAGCAGCACTTAATGGCATGCAAGGATTTGTTTACCACGGCCAGCCACTAGTGCGTTTTTAATTTGATTAATTGAATTTAATTGAGTTGATTTAATTTAATTGATTTAATTCAATTAATTTAGTTTAATTAAATTGTTTTGTTTATTTATTTTTGTTTTGCTGCTCATAAACTTGCATGCAGTTTTGTGCAATTTCATCTGCTTTTTGCTGCATTTAATTCGAGCCGCTGCATGCCCCTTCTAAATTAAATTAATTAAATTAATTAATCAATTAATTTAATTGAGTAAATTAATTAATTAAATTATTCATTTATTTTTTTATTTTGCTGCTGCAGCAGACAAACTGCTTCTCCATGTGGATTTGTTTCCTTCGTCTTTGCTGCAACGAACCCGAACCACTTCGACTGATTCAGTTAATTACAATTATTCATTGATTATTTACTCATTTATTATTATTTATTCATTATTTATTATTTATTATTTGTTCATTTGTTATTTATTTGTTGTTTGCTGCTGCAGCACATCAACTACGCGCTGTCCAAAAGCGACATCATTGCCAAAGAAGACGGTACATACACCCCGAGGCCCCCGGGCCCCCGAAAGCCCCGGAGGGTTCGGGAGAAGGAGGAGCAGCAAAAGCTGCTGTTTCTGCAGCTGCAGCAGCAGTACCTCGCGCTCAAGGTTTGCTGCTGCTGCTGCTGCTGCTGCTGCTGGTTGTGGTGGTGGGCTGGGTGCTGGTGGGCGTGCTGCTGCTGCTGAGCGGCGTGCTGCTGATCGGCGTGCTGCTGCTGCGGGTCGGCGTGCTGCTGCTGACGATGGGCGTGCTGCTGCCGCTGCTGCTGCTGCTGCTGCTGCTGCTCGGCCTGCCAGTGCTGCTGCTAGGCGTGTTGCTGCTGCAGCTGACCAGTCTGCTTCTGCTGCAGGGCGGGCTGCTGCTGCTGCAGCTGCTTGGCATGTTGCTGCTGCTGCAGCTGCTAGAGTTTTGCTGCTGGGGTTTGTGTTGCTTCAGAGCCCTTCGGGACTGCCGCCGCAAGCCACAGGGTCCACGAACCCTGCTGCTCTCGTTGCTGCTGCTCGGCAGCAGCAGCAGCAGCAGCAGCAACAGCAGCAGCAGCAGCAGCAAGGTGCTGCTGACGGCGCAGCAACAGGCTCTCAAGGCCCCGTACGCATTTGCAGCTCAGCAGCAGCAGCTGTCTGTACACCTGAATTCATAAATGGCTTCTTTTTTTCTTTGAAATGCATCTCCTCCACATGCAGAACATTTATTTATCTTTTTATTCATTTATTTTTTGTTTATTTATTTTAATTTATTTATTTATATTTATTTATTTTATATTTTGGTTTCAAATATCTTTGTTTTAAGACACCACGAATGGCCGTCAAAGAAGTATCAACTCCCCGCTGCTGGTTTCGCTGCTGTGTGTACCGCGTCTGCTGCTGCTGCTGCTGCGCCTGCTGCTGCTGCTGCTGCTGCTGCTGCTGCTGCAGGGGAGCTCGAACAAAGTGCTGTTTGTGGAGAACTTGCCGGAGTGGTGCACCAACTTCGCGCTGCAGCAGCTCTTCTCCCAGGCCGAGGGCCTCATAGACATTCGAGCCATTCTTTTCAAAAAAGTTGCTTTTGTGGAATATGCTTCCGAGGCCCTAGCTGCCAAGGCCCTCAGCAGTAAGCAGCAGCAGCAGCAGCAGCAGCAGCAGCAGCGGAAGCGGCAGCAGCAGATGCATGCGTCTTCGCCTCACGTTCTGTATTTGTGCTTTTTCTCCTGCCCAGGGCTTGTTTTGGATTTTGTTGAATATGTGCATTTTGCATTTATTTCATTTTATATTTATTGTGTATTTTATTTATTTTTATCTATTATTTTATTATTATTTTATTCATTTATCAGTTTGTTTATTTATGTATTTATTCATTTCAGTTTATTTTACTGCATTTGTTTCGTGCATGCGTTGCATGCATGCATCACAACGCACACGGCCGCGTGTTGCAGCTAAAGAGTATCATTTGTTGGCGATTTTGAATTTGTTTTGAATCAAAAGTATCTTTTATTTCATTTATGTTTCAAATTAAATGAGAAATGCCATTTAATTGATATTTATTCTCCAATTCGAGTGAAAAAAATGATTTTTCCACTTCTGCAAGTTCCAGCCACGCAGCGCAGCCACACTGTTCTCGTTTTTCCGGGGTTTTTGTCCTTTTTTCGCTTCTTGTTGCTGTTTATGTTTAGTAATTCCAATTAATTAATTTTATTTCAATTTAAATCCTTTTATTTGCATTTATTTCGCGTTTTCGCGCTGTTTTGCGGTGTCTTTGCTGCTGCGCTGCAGAGCTGCAGGGCCAAACCATCAGCGGCACTCCCCTGCGGCTGTCTTACGCGCGGAAATGAAAAAAGGAAATTAAATAGTAATAAAATAATTAATTAAATAAATTAAATAAAGTAAATTAATTTATTCACCAAGTAATTCATTTAATCGAATTATCCGGGACTGGCGGGGGCGCGGGGCTCGCGCAGACCGCCAGCGCACGAAAGAAGATTATTCCTGGTGCTGCTGCTGCAGCAGCAGCTGCTGCTGCTGCTGCTGCATGCATGCAGCCGAGTTTTGGGGCTTTCTTGCTGCAGCTTGTCTTGATTTATCTGCTTCTTCTTGATTTGTTATGATCAATTGAAGTCCGCATTTAAACGGGGGGACCTCCTGGGGTGTGTGTACAGCTCCTGCGGGCCTGCACAGGGTGTACGTACACCTCAATTCTTGACTTAGGGACTTTCTTCTTAAAGATATTCTACAAACTCCCCAGCTAGCCAAACAGCTAGCTGTCGAAGTGCTTAGCTAGCTAGCTAGCTAGCTAGCTAGCTAGCTAGATACGGCTAGCTAGCTACATCGCGAGCTAGCCACCTAACTAGATGGCTAGCTAGCTAGCTAGCTAGCTCGCTAGGTAGCTAGCTAGCTAGCGAGCCAGTCCCCCTCGCACCCAGCTAGCTGGCCAGCTAGCTAGCTAGCTAGCTAGCTAGCAGCACAGAGAAGAGTTCAAGACCGACTTGCTACATTAAAAAAAAGTTCTCTGGCGCGTTAGCTCGCTCTCTAGCCAGCTAGCTAGCCAGCCAGCTAGCTAGCCAGCCAGCTAGCCAGCTAGCTAGCCAGCTAGCTAGCTAGCTAGCTGTGTCTCCCTGCGCCCCGCGCTGGCTCCACCCCTGCAGCAGCTCCTGTACCCCCCCAGCCCCGAGGCCCCCCCTGGGGGGCCCCC